TCAGTAATGCTTTTCCAAGCTTATTGAGCAAACGAATCAATTCCTGCTTGTTCCCGTACTTGGGCTGGAAAAAGTTGGCTGCTCTCGAGTAGTTTTCTGGAGTCACTTGGAATTTTTCGATTGTTTGGTAGGCCTCGCCGTGAACTGCCTGCTTTTAGTAATCAAAATTGTAGAGCTCGAGAAGCTGCTGCGAGTGGACATTGTTGTTGAAGAGCTCCCAAAAATTGTCCCACTTCCATTATTCCCTCGGAATATGGGAGTGGGCAGTAATGAAAGCTCGCTTCTCTGGGTTGCACTTGAGAAGTAGTTCTTTCCGCTGCCTGCGGTGGTGTGTTACTTGCTTCCCTGCCCGAGAGGCGCAAACGGTGTAAGCCTGTCTGTGTGATTGGAGGAGTACAGTAGTCAAATGCGGAGGCAAAACCTCAGTTTTCGCGGAGTGTTCCTCAGAGCTACTGAGCCCCTGTTCCTCCAAGCCCTGCAGGCTTACGTCTATGGCGTATTCCCTTAAAAGCTTCTCAATCTTCTCCGTAAATGCCGTGATTGCCCATTCCTTCATTCAACTGTCGCAGATTGTCTCTGAGTTCTTCGCCATCTTGTGATGCAGCCGTAAGTGTTTTCAGTCCTTTACTCTTAAGGTGATCGATTATGTTTTCCAGCTTCTTCGTGTAGCGTGTTAGTAAACGCCTTAGAAGTACCTAATCGCATCACCATTCTTCAGCGTTCTACGTATGGTTCGAAACTTGCCTTGTCGTATTAAAAAGAGTACGTCAGGATGTTACCAATGAGAAACCGTTAGACTAACCTGGGTTCGTCGTTTGGATGATGCATCATGTAGAAGATGTTTACTTGTTTTGAGCTTCTTGAACAGTACGCGGATTTTGTGTATCAGTTAAAAACGAGATATTAGAATAGCTTTATCTCCAATAGGTGAAGGATTCTTTCTCAGCCTAGGGGAATACTTGAGAATAGGGCAAACTTGAGGGACATTTGATCGAATCCTATTCACTTACGTTGGAAGGAAGCATGACCTTACGGCAAACTAGGCTCTTTCACAGACAGATATCTGATGAAGTAAGCTTCTCATAACATTTTACATGGAAAATGAAACATAGATTGCGAGATAAGCGACATGCTGCCAAGCTCAACTTGAGACTATACAAATCGATAAGGATGTGCATCACAGATACTTGACTTAATAGATGAACGAATACTTACAAACACTTGTGAAATAATTTACAAAATAAACAAATAAACAAAAAATAGGTGAATAACAAATAAGTGATCAAAGGCAGTGTTCACTATTTACATTTGGTCGTTGTCGACATCAGCTAATTATCAGGCAGATAGAAATGACACCTGAAAAAATACTGGCAGTTATCCAGAAGAATTTAGTAGATTATTGGAACATGTGACCATCAGAAAGGGATTGAGAAGCTGCATCAAATGCATGTCTAAAAGCGTTTGAGTCTTTATTGTACGAGGTTTTATATTAGTTGCCTGGAAAAATCGGCAAATTTTGCGGGACAATCTGTAGATAAAGTAGGATTACGGTACGAGCTTTCAGCATGAACGTCAAAGTACATTGTTGGCTACAAAAAATTTGCGATGAACTTGAAAACTTTTGTGATGGAAATCTAGACACCTTGATACGAAAAGTAAGCTTTTTGCAGTTTTGAAGGCTTTCTAACTGCTATAGCTAGTTGCTCGTTGTGTTTTGAAACAAGAAACACTTTACCACGCGGTCCCCTCCCCCCCCCCCCCCATACATCAGCTACTTCGGTTGGCTTTGTGGAGGATAGTAGAGTTTCCAGCTCTTTCAGAGTATTTGTTTTATGGTAGCAGAACTTTTAAGACAAAGAGGAAAAATAAATTTTAAATGACATAGGGAAAAGTTCTCAAAATTCCCTAGAATGCCTGAATTTCTTTTTCCTATCTCACTGACTTCCTTCTGTCGAGTGAGTGTGGAAATTTCTGAAAAATTTCTGTAAATGAGTGCCTTACTCCAGTTGGTACTCCATATCCTAGACAGGTTTTTTACTTTCTAAGCATAAAAAATATAGCTGCACTGTTTTCGGCACGAGAAAATCCAAAGGCTCCTTGCGCCCACATTTGCTGAGTGTCGAGTAGTGTTTGCGTTATCTAAAACATAGACCACTTGTGGGATAACACTTTAGTTCTCAGAAATTTTCCAGAAAATTCAACACTTACTCGACACTTTACAAAGCTGGATGTCGAGGGAAAACTTCAATTTTTCTCTCGTCTTCGAAAATAACGCAGTCATTTTCCCATTCCCAGAAAGCAAAAATTCTGTCGTCTAAAACACAGTACACTTTTGGGAAAAATTTTATTTTTCAGAAATTTTCCAGAAAATTCAACACTAACTCAACTTTACACACAAATGTGGATGTCGTAGACTTCCTTGGAAAACCTGTTTTTGTTCTTTTATCAAGAATGACGCAAATATTTTACGACATTTGAAAAAAAATTATTCCACCCTTATATAGTGATTCGGAGAAATGACAGTTGTTTGACCGAAATTCCCAAAAACTTCAACACTTACTCGACACTTTACAAAGGTGGATGTCATGGGAAAACTTCAATTTTTCTTTTGTCTTACAAAATAACGCAGCATTTTGCCCATGCCCAGAAAGCAAAAATTCTGTTTCATATTAAACACAGAACACTTTTGGGATAAAACTTTGGTTCTAAGAAATTTTCCAGAAAACTCAACACTAAATTCTGCAAACAAATGTCATGTCCAAGAAAGGTCTATGTTTTAGATAAAGTAAATTCGAAGACAAGAGAAAGATTGAAGTCTTCCCACCACATCCATATCTATCTTATATATGAAGCTGAATGTCTGTTTGTCTGTCTGTCTGTCTGTCTGTCTGTCTGTATGTCTGTATGTCTGTATGTGTGTGTCTGTATGTCTGTATGTGTGTACGTATGTTCCGAATAGAAAATTCCATTTCTGAACCGATCGGGACCAAACTTGGCACACATAGACTTCGGGCCCCGGCGGGTGTCATAGGCTACTTTTTGTCATCGATCGATATCGATTTTATCGATTTTTTGCAAAATTTGAGCTACAGGGCTGGGAATTGGCACAGGGGGTAATCGAGCATGCTGATCACCCCCGTGGGGGTGATCAGCATGCTCGATTACACCCCTCTGCCAAATTCCAGCCCCCTAGCTCAAATTTTGCGAAAAATCGATAACATCGACATCGATCGATAACAAAAAGTGGACTGTGACACCCGCCGCCCGAAGTGTATGTGTGCCAAGTTTGGTCCGGATCGGTTAAGAAATGGAATTTTCTATTCGGAACATACGGCGGAGCCGGGTAAGCCAGCTAGTCTTATATATAAAGCTGAATGTGTGTCTGTCTGTATGTATGTATGTATGTGCGGAATAGAAATTTTTATTTCTAAACCGATTTGGACCAAACTTGGCACACATATACTTCGGGGCAGGGAGCGTGTCATAGGCTACTTTTCGTTATCGATCGATATCGATTTTATCGATTTTTATCGATTTTTTCGCAGAGTTCACCTACGGGGCTGGGAGTTGGCACAGGGGGTAAGTGGACATGACGATTCCGAATACAATATCAGTTTTCAAGATAATCGATTACTTTCCCGATTTTATCGATTTTTTTGCAAAGTTTGAGCTACAGGACTGGGAGTTGGCAAGGGGGGTAAGTGGGCATGCTGATTTCGAAAACAACATAGGGAACGGGAAATGAAGTGTAGAAGTGGGCACAGGGAATTGCTAGACAGGGATAGGGATGGGACTTTTATTACAGTGTTTTAACAGGGCCGAGCAGAGCCAGGTAAGCAAGCTAGTAACAGATATGTGTAGTGTGTGGTGTCGAATTAGTGTGTGTGGTAGTGTAGTGTATAGTGTCGCGTTTTTGTCAAACGATTGTGTCCTTCAAATTTGTATATGTTTTTGAAATCTTTGCTCTCCCAACATGGAAAGATCATTTGCACGATTTTCGATAGAAGGAAAAAAAGTTTTTCGACGAAATTTACAACATGCACGGTTGCTGAGTGTCGATTAAGTGCTGAATGTTGAAGAATTTTCATCAAATGTCCTATCTCGAAAGTAGCTTACGTTACAAACGAGGATTTTTGCTTTTTGAGAGTAAAAAAAATAACTGGGCGTTTTTGACGTCAAGAAATCAATGCCGAGTAATTTTTTGGAAAGTTCCCGTCAAGCAATTTTCCTATTTCGAAAGTAGTCTGAGTTTTGGAAAGCGCATAATTTTTTCTTTCTGAGCGTAGAGAAAATCAACTGCGCAGTTTTCGATGACAAGAAAAATTAAATTTTTTTGTCGACATCCACGTTTGTTGAAGTATCTTCGGTACCGCACATACATCTTATTCTCATTTGTTATTCTTAACTTTTATATACAAATTTGCATGGATTTGATTATGAAAAAGAGGCTTTACATTAGGTTGCAATTTTATCAACTCAAGGAAGTTTAGCTGTTTTCAAGCATTAGACTTACCCTTTGAATTGTTATTCTCAATTTTCCCATGTGAAAGGAAGCGATGGAAGCATTCTCAAACGTCTTGAATAATTTTCCACTGCTCAACTTTTTTTTTCGCCTAGCAAAAGTCTTGCTCCTCTTGCTCCAATTAATTTATGCGTGGTTTCCAGACTTATGTTCGGCAAGGAATGTTAATGTCCAGCAATGAAGGCTAAAAATAAAGCATTGCTAGCGAATTACCGTGACGACAGCAATGAGGAGAATGCAATTTTGCAGGCTAATTAATTTCGTATTTCTGCTTCTTTGGATAAATGACAGCGCTTAAAAAATGACCACAGAGAGCATCTCAGTTTTGACGTCTCATAGGTATCTGCTACGCGGGAATGTTGTCGACACCGCAATTGCATCTACAGGACTTTAGAACGAAATTTCTTAAACTTTGACGAATGCGTGTCAGATTGTAGATCAAATATTTATAGCTGAAAATTGTTCCTTTTTCCTTTAGTGTTGCTATAGCCTTGGTGTGTGGTCTTCTTCTTGGCTTTGGAGACGCTTGTTGGAATACACAGATTTATGCATTCCTCTGTGACAAATTTCCCCAAAAAAGCAGTGAAGCATTCGCAATTTTCAAATTTTATCAGGTAACTACTATTAAGCTTATTGTTACTCTGTTAAATTTCTATAATTCATGAGAAACTAGACTAGTCTTGATGGTAGTGTAGTGGTTCTAGCCTTGCTAACAACACTTGCGCGTAAAAATTGGCCATGGGGGGGGGGGCGGGGCAAAATCTGTGAGAATATGCGCCGTATTGCCATTTTTACGCGCAAGTGTTGTCACCACCGCAGTAGCACAACTCATCAAAGACACGTCTGCTAGACTTTAAACAAATTCGGTGCGACCACGTCTTTTAGTCCATTTACCCGCACACAACCAACATTAAAAATCCAATAATGTTTTGTAATGAGCTTTGCGTCTGGCCGCGAAATGTTCAGTGCCTGAAAAACATTTCAGATTGCAATTTCAGTCATTACTTTCGTGTGCTGCCTTCTTCTACTCTCCCTATCTACAACTGCCATGGCATCTTCTTATTCTGCTTGTGACTTCGATACTTGCCGCTGTTTGTTTCTTCCTGAATCAGCGTTTTCCTTCATTATTTGGGCCAGATGAAGGAGAGAACGAAGGTGAAGTTTAATTACACGAAAATTTTTCAGAATTGGAATCTTTTGTGACTGCTTTTCTTTTAGTAAAAACAATCCCAGAGAGAGGTGCACGATCCTTCGACTCAGGGGAGCAAATAATATGCCAGGATACACCTCACTTATCATCTAAGGCTGCAGACTGAGATTATTTGTATAAAATGTCATCAATGCATATGATGGACGACGAAATTCATCAATAATGCGGCAATTTGTGCACAATTCTAGCACAAGCAACCTGCCTACTATGTTCACTTCGAAGATTTTTGTGCTTCTAGACATTGAAACGGGCTCTAAATACGACAATAAAATTTTGTACTACTATCTTTCTATATACATTCTATTTGTTATATTCTTAGCATTTCTGAAGCTATCTCAATCATTTCCACATTATTGCATAGTTCGTGTATACATCACCTAGAAACATTTCAAGCTTTCTGCATTCCGTTGAGTCAAGGGTAGTTTAAACTGGTAAGAAGTTTTTCTAGGGGGAAAGGAGGAGAATGCAGACAGAATCTTTTATTTAATATGGCATTAAGCATGCCATTCGAAATTTTCTGCAGAAAAGAAATTAACTTTGAAGGGTGATTAATTTTTTTTAATTTTCGAAAACTTCTACGCACCAGCAAGAAAATTTCTGCAAACTAACCTGAAATTCTGTAAACTTTCAAGAGACAATGTCACTTGCGCAACCTTGTAGCTCATGTGGGTTACTTCCAAAACTTTCGCGATCCTCCTCCCCTTTGTCCCCCCCCCCCTCATCCCGCCACGTTGAGCTTTGAACTTGATTGGAGTTCCAAAAAAATTCCCTTTGCACCATTTCCCCTGCAAACGTGATGTAATTGGAATTGCAGAAACCAATACACTTGCTCCAGAGATACATTATCCGTTGAAACTTCGGCTAGAAAGCTCTGTTTTTGTGAAATCGGGATACAGAATATGAACTGAAATACTTTCATAACTCGAAAAATTGCCAAATCCTTTTTCAAAAAAATCCGCGAAGTACTCGTATACTCAGATTTAGAGCGAAAATAAAGTCATGCATTTATGAGTCAGTGGAAGAAATTTTAAAGCAACGGGACAACGATATCAATAAGACTACAGTTTTTTTTTGCAGATGTTTACATTGTCACGACTCGCAGGCTTCGGCGCCGCGACGCTACTTTGAACGCGAATGCGGATGTTGTTGGCGTTCATGATTCTTGATTGGTATTCATACAAAATTTCATGAAATGATAAATGCAATACCGCAAATTCAATGTTTTTGGTATGTTTTTCACACTATCTATCCATATCTAGAATATAGAGTGTATAGAGTGGACGAGTTCATGTCACATGAATCCGGCGACAGTCCATCATTTTAAAAATGTATTATATAGGAGGTAGGCAAGCTTCATGAAACGAACTAGTGTGCTATAAAAACAAAGAAATTAGATATGCACTCGTACCACGAACGTTTTGTCCTTAAAGATGAGCTGTTTCAGATTCCAATTCTGTAATCCAAAACTTTGTTTACCTCGCATTTCGTTTCGTAATCCATTTCGTAAGGATGAAACATTTATTGGAATTTTCCGTGCGCTGCAACATTTTAATGATTTCGCAAACCGATAAATGTGCCATTTTTCCCCATCTCAGGCAATGTTTAAAATTTTGAGCTCATTCATTGGTGAATTTACCCTTGCCATTGGCGCCGCTGTGCAAGCTTAGAGAATTCAAATTTCTGCCTAATCGTGTTGCAAATCGTTTCATTAACTGGCTGCGGGGCTCGCCACGCCTCCAAGTCAGCCATGGTCCCAAAGAAATTTCTAGCCATGTTTTGTCCTTACCAATCATTCGTTTTTGCTTTTAGCTTTCTTTGCTCAAAGAAAGTAAGTACTGTGAGTACCTTACGTACAAAATAGGACTGGCTAGAGTTAGTTATGTACTTCTACTAACTAATCGCTGCATTGTTAAATCATCGTGAAACTTTTTTTGCATTTGCACCATGAAGGGTTTTGGCACTAATTATTTTTTAAGCAAAAAAAAAACACTATTAGGTCCAGCGCAATTTTGTCCAACCACCTACTGCTCATAGTCCTTTTGCTTGCAAGTCGGCACCAAGAAAATTGATAAGATTTGAGAAAGAACTTTTTCAATTGCTTTTATCGAATGAAAAGGTATGCTTAGAATTTTACGAAAAAAAGACTGAAGTTAATCCACAGAAAAGAGGGCTGGGTACACAATTGGGTTTTTGAGTACAGCTGGTGTTGTCGTAAAGAAGTACGGCACCTTTTTTAAAATAGCGCAGCATAGAATTTTTAGATTTAGATAAATTCTACATATTTATTTACACTCAAATACTACCGAGAAGGTTCGACCTGAATACCTAATAACTATCTGATTTTGTTTATATTTCTCATGTTTCTTTTGAATCCAGCCATTTTGATAACTTTTACTTATTATCGTACAAAAATAAATTGGGTAATTCCTTGTCAACGGTGCAGTTGCACATCTTCCAGGAGGCTGGCGATGAGACGCAAGCTCCTCATGGGGCTGCGTCAAGACTGCAATCATTCACGTTTCTTTAATGCATGTACCTAGACAGCAGGGAAAACGAGCAGAAAATGAATCCCCCATAGCCTGCCTGCCCCATACTGGAAAGGTGCAACCGCACACATTAGCAAGCAAGCCTACTCAACTGTAGAGGGCATTCGAAAAATTGTGACGATGGCGCAACGCACTTTTCTTGATTTTAATCTCTATTCGACTGGTTTTTCTGCTTAGGTATGATAATACCTGGGCACTGGAAGTGAATGAGCTAAGCGTTGAGGTGATGCATTTTTGTATGAGGGGTTATGCTCCTGTGGGCGCACTGACGCAGTCAAATCCATCGTGACGATTTTATGAATGAACCTCAATTGATTCAAGAAGTATTGTTGGGGTTTGGAGTAATGAAAGACGGATGTCTCTAAGGGGAGTTATGCTATTTCTGCATATCGAATCAATATAAGAATGCACTTTTCGGACTCTTACATTTGCTAAAGCGGCGAAATTACCTTAGACGATACGTGAAACTCCGAAGCGATCTGCTTAGAACGTTCTTGCAAGTGCTTATCTGTTTGACAAAACTTTGCTTCTGGAGCATCTGCAATTTTTCGAATCCCAGGACTGAAATTTTTGAACCAAGCTTGCAAGAAGATGCATATTCGTAGAATGTAGCGCCTTTTAATTGCTGCCTCAACCACTTTTTTCAGATTAAACTCAGAAGTAGATTATTCAAAATCTAATCAGTTAATCGCCTTTTGAAGAGTCCTCATAACCGAAAAAAACCAGCATAAGCGGCTTACGGTAAAGGTAAGAACTGAAGAAACAACGAAATATACAAAGAATTCCTGAGCAATAAGGAGGACTACTGTTGAAGCACATACGTACACTCGAGTAGAATTTCCGCTTAATATAGTGTTGTAGGTAAAAGCGGTAAAATTTTGCGCGTGAAGAAATAGCTACGCCTGTGACGCCTTCCATTTGCGCGTGCAGAATGCCGGCGTGGCTAATTTTTTACGCGCAAAATTTACCGCATTCCACCTACAGTGCAAGCACACTATATTGAGCGAAAAATCTACTCGACTGTAAATAAACGCAGCAGGTCCCCACACGACACGGTGTACCGTAGCTTTGGCTGAAGTTGAGTTTTTTTGAAGTCAATTTTATATAGTTAATAGATTTATAAAATATTGTGCTCATTATATTAGGTTGTCCCGAAAGTTTATCGGTTTCTTTCATTGCTCACCCAAACTCACAGAAAGCCATTCCATGGACGACCCAGGTACCATTCTATTCAGATTTTTATACTCTTTCTTACAGCCATATTTGTTTTCTGATCTACCCCGTCTTTGTGATGTTATCGCCATGGCTTTTTGAGCACCTCAGCAGTAGCGCCAAATTTTCCTGAATTTTCAAAATTTTTATACTGATATTTTCAAGGAGCGCTGGTGACTATTATGTAGAGCAAACCTTTGGCTACATTGTGCTTATTTTAGATTACGTGGGCCTCGTTTACTAAGTCCGTTATGATTATTTATTCACTAAAAACCGCGGCTTTTTGAATAAGTTTACCACGTAAAAGTACCGAAAATCCAAAAAGCTGATTCTTGAAGCAAATCAAACTTGGTTATGTTGCGTAAATAATGTTTAATAACAGTCAAGTTTGAATTCGCAGAAACTTTAAAAGTTTTCTTGCTTTTGCTGCAGTTGCGTTTTTCATGACTTTGCTGAAAATCAAGGCCTCCGAAGAAATAATTTTTTGAGCTAAACACAGCAGATTAGGAGAATCAAAAAATATCTCCGTAAAGTCCTGGAATTGCTTTATTTGATCCATACACCCCTCTCCGAAGCTTTGGAACGAAATTTACGAAAAATTGCCTAACTCTAAGCAGATAAAGATGGCGGGTGAAGAATTTTGGCAATTATCAAAAAAAGCATACAGGATTGCGGTTCGAAAATGTAACCATAAGAAAGAAAAGGAAAAGTTGCATCGAATGCACTTTAAAACTCATGCATATCTTTACTGTGCGTGGTTTTATAGTGGTCGACAAAACTTTCGGGACAACCTAATATAATCCAACAGCGCCGATAATAGCCGAAAATTTTCTAAAATCTTGCGACTTCTGATACGCTCCGATTTTCTACCCGAGGTGCGTCGGATTTTTCATTGGGGGAGGGATCTAAAGTAAAATTCTACAAAAGAAACAATGTTCATTTACTTGCAAATACAGTTCTTTAGAACTTGCCATTCTTTTTTCCTTATAATCGCGAAGTTAAGAGAGTATTTTGTTGTTTTGGTATGCGTGGCTGAGGTCATGTCCTTCCCGAAAAAAATATTGGTCGAGCTCCCCCCCCCCCCTCCCCCTCCCGCCCTTTCCTCCCCAAAAAAAGCTCGGACTCAGTGCTCTTTCTTTCAACACCAAAAACTAGTCTTCGCGCAAAGTTCACATTGCGCAATCCTTTTGCTCAGCGATGCTTACTGACATGTTGAACCTGTAAGCATACTAGAGATAAATCGTTTACCGAACGGCAAATTATACGCCGCAACAGGTAGGGCCTTCGGCTCAATAAGGTGCAGCATCAATATTTCTTCCAAAATGTAGCAATTGTTTGTAAAGCAATATAATCCAGCTCCATAACGCAGGCGAGGATTGCGAAACTGTAATCCTCTACCTGAGACCTGTTCAGCAGTATCAGGGCACTGCGTTGTGTTCATACTACTGCCGTTGTCACTCATTCCCTTAATCGATATATTCCCAGTCATTTGTAACTTGATTCGTGAGTCTGCGCCCTATGTGCGGAAACTGACGACACCCCTACTACTTGACGCGCCACTTGACGACTTGTAAGTATTTCCCCGGTGAAACTTATTCTAGCAAACTGTAGAAAAGTATTAACATATATTAATTCAAATCAAAAAGACAGGGAAATAAGGGCAAAAACACTGCAAACGAGCAAACTGTGGTACAAGTCGTCAAGTAGTGCGCATGGTGTGCGCTCAAATGACTCGACGACACTAGCCTTGGAGTTCAAAAACTTCCACTACGAAGTCTGTAATTATAAATGGTACTCTAGTATCGTTTACACATAACGCATATTGTTAAGCAGATGACGTTGATTTCTGAAGAATTTCTAGGTGAAGAATGACCAGAAAAAAAATGGGAAACAGAAAAATTGGCCAGGAAAATTCCATAGATGTTGATTTCAACTGCCAAACTCAGTGACTAGTTTGATCACAATGTTCTATGGATTACATGTAGTTTAACGCTCCAGTGGTGGGATTAGTGCAGCTGTGCTGCCCCCTTTATCAATTTTTTTTCTGTAGGGAAAAACACTGCAAAAAACTAAATAAACTTTCTCGAGTAGTAGTAAGAATAGACCACAAAAGTGCAAGAAAGGTCTGAAGTTTGCCACGGCAGCCTTTTTTCTTGCTCCCACGCCGCCGTTATCAGTTAAACTAACGACTTGCTCACGTTAACAACCCTGAGCGACCCGTCCATCCATGCTTTGGATATTTCAACAGGCAGTTTCCCCCTGTATTTCACTACACAAACTGCATCCAGGCTCCTACTCCCTACGATATCAACATGCTATTCTTGTTTCTTTCCGGATACAAACACCGAAGTGCGCAACGGTATAAAAACGTGTTGCAATAGCACGTCGATAACGATCAACAATATCGGCAATTTGTCTACATTTATAGTGTAACCACACTGCCCGCTCTTTGTTTGACGTTATGGAAAGTTTTATAGTTTTCACGAGCGGTCGTGTACCGCTGATCTGACCTTTATTCCATGTGTTATCTTTGTGATTATGAAGCTTGTAAATGTATCGATCTATTTTTATCGTTTTCGAGCAGTTAATCTTCTTGATCTTGCCCTCATTTGATCTTGTTTTGTGCGCCATTAGGTGGGCATATCGAATATTTGTCAAATACATAAATGAATGCACTAGTCTTGTATGTTTTATCATCTAGAAAGAACTGCTCTATGTTTTTATCACCCACAGATCACTCCATCTCCTTTGTCTTTTCGAAAATAGACGACTCATCGTATCGCTCTTATTTTTAATCCGCTGATTACTGCAGGTATCAATGTCGAGGAGGTGATTTTCTATGCACACTGCGAGAATATCCATACTAATTGTTCTTTGGGAATTTACTAGATTGAAAAACATTGTAGCTGGCAGTGAAAACCCTACGGGTATACACCTGGATAGGGTAGAGGTAAGGTTTTCATCTTATTCCTTGGTTCATTTATTTTTTTTTTCGTCTCTATTGTCTCGTCCATGTATTGCGGTAAAATTTACAGGGTCTTGCTGTCCAATGCGGTTACAATCTTATTGCAGTAGGATCCCGTCAACTCATCTCTATATATAGTCAAGACCTGAAAAAGGACAAACACATAGGCGAGTCATTTGATATGACAAACTTATTATGTTCTTTTTTCTTCGTTTTTTATTCACCAAAGGCATTCGCTCTTTTTTCTTCGTTTCTTACTCACCGAGGCATTTGCTTAGATAACTGAATAAGAGTGCATGTCCTTCAACGCCTGATTTTATTTGTTTTCGCGGCTTTTTGCTTTGCTTTCGTTAGCAGTACCCATCAAAATGAGCATGATGAGCATGAGCAACATTCGTTAGTTACTGCATGATATTTTAGAAGATTCATTTGAATTTGATCATTCCCCTTACATCCCGTATCACTGCAATTTGTCATTACTTGTCTGTAGTGATAACACCTTTTTTGAAGAGGATACTACATTGCGATTTTCCGAGTCATCAGTAGTGAGTCACTGAGATCTGCGAACTGCGAATATCGTGAATTTCAACGTTGCGTCCTAATTTGCTCACCTTCATAAATATACTGTGTCTTACGGAGTACGTAGAGGTACTATCGCTTTGCAAGCTTCTCGCGCACAAATCCTTCCTTAAACGCTCTCAACATGATACCCGTGTCCAAGGAAGCAGATACGCTGCATTGTGTGGTATTCCTAGGAATTTCAAGGAACACAGACTATCTTTTGCGGCTCTTTGTGTGCTTATTCGTCAAGAACTTTCGATTTTCGTGCGAAATAACCTGATCAAAACTCGTACTTCTGCTCTACCCGGTGTTGTCTCATGCAAGTTTTTCTACTAATTTGTGATGATTCTAGTTCCTCATGATTGTACTTGTGTCTTGTCTCGAGAGGTTACTGCGCCAACATTGGAACAATAATCTTACTTCGTCACTTCATTTCATACAAATAAAATTGCTACATTGCAAAAATTTGCCTTTGTGCATGCGCATTGCTCCATGCAAATTCTTGGCCGGGTCTTCACAGTTCGTGGGAACTCCCTAGTTCACTGCAGTGCATATTTACTCAGCAGTGGCAGTAATTAGTGAGATGTTGTAAAGATTTTTTTCAGGTGAACTTGTTGGCTCGATTCCGCTATCAAAACCAGTTTCTGATAGTGGCTTTCTTGAATTGAAGTTCATTAGTGAGTCACAGCTCTTCTATTGCGACGCATATTCCTGCAGGTATGAGACTCCGTTTACTTGGTTCTTTCTTTGCATTTGTCAAATTTCTTACCATACTTTTTATTTATTTATTTTTTCTTATTTTTACCGCAATTTAGTCGTATCTTTTTCCTTAATTGCACCGCAATATGATCGTTTTCCCATGTTGGAAGAGTTGATTCGCACGAAGCAAAGACTTGGTGTTCTGTGGTCGTGCACATCAACGAAACTTCCTAGATCTACCATGAAGGTAGAAGTGTTAGAGACAAAGTTATTCGGCTGTACGCCCGTATATGCCACCATTGAATTTTTTCCCGAATTTGATGTTCACGCTAATGATTTAACCTCATAATGTTTCCCTTACAAGCGAATCGTCTTAAGCTTATATGTCAAATTTCATACAAATACAGAGAAAGTGGGTGTGACGCATCATTATCGTCTGTGTTGGAATTGCATGGGTACGATATTGGCCAAAACTCTGTTGTAAGGAGCCTTTACATCACTTTTCATCATCCTTCACATCTGCTATAGAACATGTACTGCTTTTACTATGAACTACGATCTTAGTTATAGACGATTAGTAAGCACTTCATTCATAGTGATCTCAGCAGAACAGACTGACGAATAGCATTTCAAATTGATTGTAACTATGTGAACTTGAAATTGATTGTAACTATTACTTTGATAGCTCAATGGCCGCAGTCCTCGTAATGCATAAAGACATAACGTAACCCATTCCGGAAACATATAGTTATAGTCATTTGCTCTGTGAAAATTGCACCAAACAAACATTTTCTCTGCGCTGTCATCCTACCAGGGAAATATCGTTACCATTGCACTCAACTGTACTTCAGTGAGCTGATCACCTTTTGGAGAAACATTTCCAAGCCTAAATGAAAAATTAAATGCCATAATTCCTGTGTTTAGTTACGATGACGAGGTTTTAGTATATAAACTTGACTTGTAGTAGAAAGCGCTTCTTGATTACGATGAATCACTCAACTTGAAAATGTGTATCTGCACAGCAAGACAAGATCATGGAAACATTCTTCATTTCTAGACAACACGTAGGATGTCTGTGAAAATAGGAGTATGTTTGAATTTTTGCTCATACTTAGGTTTTTTGATGAGTTCATGTCAGACCAGCTATGAGGTCTGTTTCAATACTCAAAATGAAGTCAAAGTGAATGTACAATCAAGATTGTGCTTGGTGCGTAACTCTTGTCTCAATGGTCAAATTGCTTCCTCGCCCACCCTTAGTGTTCATCAATGAGTACACAATCACAGGAAGTGTGTTCAATTTCCGTTCCTCTAAATTACGTATTAAAATCACGTAATACTAGAAATTATCTATCAGTCAACACGATGTTTTCACTTGAACGATACTTCACGTTTGTTAATGCTTTTGTTGGTTATCCCGCTGATGCAGAAAGTACAGAATAGAAAAAATGTGCAAATTCTGTTTATTTTTTTTTTCGCTCAAATTCCTTTTTGTCTTGAACTGCAACAGATTCGCGGTTTTAGTACATAACGGTTTTTACAGCTTGTGCGAGGCATCGAATAAGGTGTGGTCTTGTGAAGCTCTTGTACTTTCTTGGAATGGTGAAAGCAGTACTTCAATATTGGATATCTCGTCCGCATACTCTCATGAAAAAGGAAAATTATTTGTTCGTGTTGCGGAGCTAACTCGAGCGGCAGTGCTAGCTTTCACTATCAATAACACCAGGTCAGTTCTTTTTTGAGATTTCCAAGTTTCAAAGTTTTCGTACTACACCGACAGCCGCCGCTGGCAGCAAGTGGACGCCTCTTGTGCTTTCGTGTGTGAAGCGCTGAAACGACTGCTGCAAATGCTGCAAAGACGTTGCCTTTTTTCCTAATCATCATTTTCTTGCGCATATCTAGTATTCCTCTATCATTCTTCTATCATTCTTCTACCTACCCTCTATTCTTCTCTCAATCATTTTCCTTCAAAAAGGATTTGCATCTCTCTTGGTCAGTCAGTAAGCCTATCAACCTTAGCTTTAACTTACTCATGGTTGGTTCTCCCCTTAGCAATATCATTTCAAGCTTTTTGAAGTCGTACATCTCATACGGCGTATGCTATTCTATTTCCTCTTCCATCCTTTATACGACCGATTAAATGTTCTCATCTATGGTTTGCTCTCTGGAAAAGTTTCCGTATTTTTCTGCAGCGAAATCTGTTGCCTCTGATGTGTTAAAAGGCGAACTAGTTTCATGAGCACGCGTCATAGTTAGGGTGTACAGTCCAGTACATCTTCTGTTTGATATAGTGTGCCTAGGTGCCGAGACTTTCCGCGATCGCCCGTGAAGAATCAGCCACGCTTGAAATGTCAGTAATCTGCCCGCGCAAGTAGCCTATACTTCATTCGCAGCGTTTGTTCACACACATATTTCACCGCAAAGATTTGGCACCTCAAACACACTATATAGCGGAAAATTTACCAGACTGTACACCTCATGCGCATGCGGAGGTAGGGATGCGGTGCAGGAGGAACCAAGGCCTGCCGCCTGTAGCTGTAGGAGATAGTTAGGAGCGCGACCGCTGTGAAAAAGATTTTGGCAAAGATCCACGAAAACTTGACGAGAACATCGATTAGAAACGAACTCATATAACTCTTCTTGGAGTTAACTTTCAAGGATACAAAGGACAGATTTGGAATCAGTATTGAAATGCGCATTTTCAGTAACAGGTTTACCGGATAGATAAACTACTCTATCTCACTACTCGAGTTCATTTTTACCAAAAACTGAACCTTCAAAATTCACCACTAAAAGCTGAATATTCAAGTTCAGTGCTGTGTGATTTAGTGAAATTTCCTGATTAGAAGTTCAAAATAGGGAGTGGTAATCAGGAAATAATGTTTAACTAAATTGCATGTAATAAACTTTCTCTATCGTGCACAACCTCGAGGGGATTACCAACATAGTTGGCACATCTTTGAAATTCCTAGTGTCAGAATTTAAAATTAGAATAGGTTGCATATTGCATTTTGATTCAAGCCTCCAGATGTGTTCTTGTAAAATTTTGATTGTTTTGGTTCATTGTCAAAAGGCATAATATTCCCTTATCTCCAAGAAGAATGAATTTTGGACGAAAATCCCGGTCTTCAACAATCTGTAACTTCAAAATTCATAAAACAAAAAGTTTGTACAAGACTGTTGACTTTTACCACTACAATTCCAAATTTTCCCTTACTCTAGGCTCAGCAATTGCGCCTTCCAATTTGCATTTAAAAGCTGTTTTTCAATTCTTTTAAGGTCATCTCCAGGCAAAGTTATGAATTGTTCCTAAGGGTGGATACCCTTGCTAAATTCTCTTGGATCCTTGCCAAAATATTCTCCCACAGCGCTATCGCTCTTAATTATCTCCTGCGGATACAGGCGGCAGCCCTTTGGTTCCTCCTGCACACCCCCATCGAAGGTGAAATTTTGGGTGCCCATGGCCACCGGTAGTATGGGGTCTTCTTCCAGAACAAGATAATTGATTGCTTTATTGATAGATAGGTTTGCATAAGAAGGAATGAGCAAGTACTCTGGAGCTTTATATGATCGCAGTGTACTGGAGAGTTCATGTTCTTAAAGGCAGCGTACACCCAAAATTTCACCTTCGATGTTTTTGACATTGGGGCCTTTCCGTGCCTCTGATTACAGTTATGACATTGAAATCCTCCAAAAGTCCCAAAAAAACCCCGATTTCCGAGGACTCTCTCTTCAAAGGGAGGACGAGTTTCGAACTGCTCGGCCCCTTCGGAATGCAATCGAAAAGCAGCTGCAACAGCATGACGCCTGTATTTGCAACTGCAAATGCTGCGTATGCTGTCGTGGATTCGTCGTCCGAAGGAGGCAGAACGCAAGAAGCAACTGCAATGTTGCATCTGCTGTTGCGTTTGTAACAGCAGGTGCAACTGCAACTGCAGCTTACGCTGTCATGGATTCGTCCGGAGGAGGCGGAGTGAAAGAAAATTGAGGGGGGTTTTCTCGGCTCACAAGCAACATTGGGAGACCGGACCAACGCAGTTGCTCTTCTTCTGGGCCCAGTATATATACGGTATAGAAAAATCTAGAAAATTTAACTTACAAGGGAAGGATACCAACATTAGTTGGCAATTGAAGATGAGATGTATGTCGTTAGATGCGCCTTTGAACGCTGATTCCAAATCTGCTTTCCTTTTTTGCGGAATAAGTTTCGGAAAGAAGTTATGAGCGTTTCAATGTGCAAATTTGCCAAACATTGAGTGGCTTGAAACTAGCGAAAAGCTTTATAATAATATCTATGCGATTTCCGCCGGCTTCGCTCCTTCCTTGTAAACAGTATACTCGATACAAGAATTATTTTCCAATTTCCGCTGTTTTTGTACAGCTTTTCGCCAATTTTAGGCCACCTAAACTTTGCCAAATTTGGACATTTGAACGCCCACAAGTTCTTTCGGTAACTCATTCCGCAGAAAAGGAAAACAGATTTGGAATCAGCGTTCAAAGGCGCGTCTACTGATATACATCACATCTTCAGTCGCCGACTAATGTTGGTATCCTTCCCTTGTTAGATTTTGGGTGTACGCTGCCTTTAACGATATCTTCCTATCCTGAGGTCCCGTTGGAAACTCGTTGAAACTATGCTTCGCTCTTTGGCATGTGACCCAACGGCCCTCTTTAGAGCCATATTCGCCATGGATACATAGCATGTTCATTGGAACCAAAAAAAAGATCTTCTTTGTTGTTGTGTGTGTAGTACACGAAATAGGGCGACATTACCATTGTCATGTCACAAATTCTTAGTGTCACCGCGCGCACATGTCGCTTAGGGAAGGTCTTCTAGAGCACATGTAGGACACTGATCTGGACTGTTTATGCACCTTTCTTTTTTTTGAGACTTCATTTGACATGGTGTTGTTTTGAATACAGTACTGAAGCAACTCACTTCTGTTCAGCGTGAACTAATGTTTTCAAGCTTGCATGGTGTACTTTACCATTTATTGGAGCAGATATATTGCGTTCTAAACATGTTTAACTGTTGCGACCGTTTAATTCCATGCAAACCTTTCTGAGGAGAGCAATCGTAATCGTTCCTTGTGTGCTACAAGTAAAACTGGATCCATTAGAAACTGCGTTACGTAATTTGAGTTCCAAGAATTTGAAGATCACAGCACACAGAAAAAGGTCGGGAATTGAACCACATGATTTCGCATTTTTTGTTTTGTTTCAACTCCTTAAAAGTCGCACATGGCTATTCGTTGTACTGGCTTGTGGCTACGCGGTGTAGAAGTCTCTCGCCAAGCACTTTTTTGTTAGGACTTACATTTTGCCAAGAAGAGCTTGTTGAGGAAGCTTCTTGTTTGGCTTTATCAGATCGCCTGTGGATGCTACCGGTACCAACAAATAAGTCTAGGTAGATAGGAGCCTACTGACTACGGTGGTTTTCATCAAATCTTGAATTGAAGGTTTTTATCGGAACTATGAGACGTTATTAATTTCCGGAAAACCCAATACTTCCACTTGCGAAGTTCATTTTGAAATTTTGAAGATGGGAGCTTTGGAAGTAATTCTCTGAACACATGGCACAAGTCGCAGCTTGAATTGGCTTAAATTAAATGAAAATTTTTTGAATATGTGACTTCTTAATGCATCTAATGTCCACAGAAGCGATGCCCTATTTTTTTTGCTGTAATAATCTGGTTGAGGCTAGAATCATTGACAAACAAGCTGTTTTGTTTGAGTTGTCTGTTCATTGTCTCATCTTTGATTTGTTTTTTCTTTTCATGAAAAGTCATCTGCATACAAATAAGCGCGAAATATTGGAGAGCTCTTCTCCAGTGCCTCATAAATGTTTCCTTTATTCTCGGTTAATTTCATAGTTTACCTCCGAAAACAAGGGAACAAAAATCAAACCTCCGTTTTCTTGAAATCCACAAGCAAAAGGCAGAATTTTGCAGAATCAGATCATGTGCATTGTTTGTAGAATTGACCCAAAAATTGCTCAAACTATTGGATTGGTTCATAATGCTCGTTTTTCCTATCACTTCCTTCAACCGCTACTTTTCGAAGTGCAACCGTTCTCACTGAAAACCTCTTGTGATATTTAAAAACCCGATCTTTTTCATACATACTTTCTTTTTTGGAGGTCCCTGTTCAGACCGAAGTTCCATGCCTTCAAAGATAAGAGACTGAAACTGAAATATTTCCGTTCAACTCTACCTGCTCTAAATCCATGAAAAAACATCACTTCAGAAAAATGTTATAATTGCGATGTTTTGTGAAAAAAAAACAAAACAACATGCCTGCCAAGTCAAAAAATTCAAGTCGAGAAAGCCAAGAAGTTTGAATTAGTCTTGATTGATTACTGAAACCATTCTTAGCTGTATAAAAAGCTTACAAGGGAATGATCAAATTATGAAGTTGCCCCAAACAAGCTGCATACCATCCGATGCAGCATGGAACGTTGACTTAAAACCTGTCTTCCATATCTGCTGAACTCCTTTGCAGACAAAGTTATTAGCAGTTTTACTGCGAAAAAATCGTAGATAATAATCGCGAAATTGAGCACATTGTTATCCCTTCAGCTAATCTTTAGTTTTGGGCTATACGAAGTAACGTAGGTGCATGTTTTGGCCCAGCATCAAGCCGTAAATGGCTCCGTACGGCTAGTTTTGCACGCGCGCACGATTTCTTACTAGGGGAGGACCCAAAATCGAAATTGGCTTTTTGAAT